AATGTTCACTGCATACTTTTGCTCTCACCCAAGATTTGCCACTCATACTAAAAACTCTCCCATGCTTAAGCCAGTGTGGAGGAAAGGCAAAGGAGAAATACACATTAAAAAGAAATCCTATCTAAGAGATATAAGTCAAAGTTATGTCTGCAATTAAATAATTCCTTTGGGCATGAGGCAGCTTTTAGATGGGTTGGTGCAAGCTTAAGGTGCTTCACAAAAGCCCCTTATCGCAAATAGTGCAAATGAGGTTAATGAGGTTCATTTTCACTGTGTGTTTCACTTTCTCTTGTCTGCCCTTTTATTTTAGGCGTATTATCAGAAACAACAAAGAAACATCCTTCTCCAGAGCTTAGTACGGAAAGGAAGCTCATTAGTTTCCAAAAACCAAAATCCAGGAAAAGAAAGAAAGAGAAGGGAACTAAAAGAAAGGGGACAGAAGAAGAGCTACCCTACTCTTACTACCCTACGTAGTAAGGGCCTAGCACCTACCCTTCTAAATGCACCAGCACACGTTCACACACACACAGAAATACCTCATCTTAACATAACTTCCCCTCACTCACAGATTTGAATAAAACATCACTGCTGTCTATCCCTGGAGGGGATCTTGGCGGTGCCAGGAGGCAGCATCAGAAAGGCACACAGGAAGCAAAAAAGAAAGGCTCTGTGTACAATGAAAATGATTTATCCTCTGCAGAGAAATAAGGAATCTTCTTGTGATTTACTGCTATGTTTCACAACCAGAAAAGTCAACTCCGGGGACCAACTCGCAAGAGATTCTGATTTCCATATCTCCTTTATTCAAACACTACCTGCTGCATCCACTGCAAACATCCAGGCTTGGCGGACAAGAGCAAGCATTTCTGTTCTAGTAAAGGATAACTAGGAGGAGAAAACAGAAAATATTTAAGAAACATGTTTAGAGCATCTCATTCAGGTACCATTTCACCAAAAGGCCAACTTTGATCAAAATAATACCTAAAGGCTGCTATTAGCCAGGAAGGTTGAGCATGCAGGCCCAGTACGGGGCTCCATGGTCCAACCAACTCGCTACCTGTTCTACTTGCCAACCACTCCAATGTCTTGTCATTACTTGACCCATGAGGGTGCACAGAGGGAGCATCTGCCCCCCAGGGCTTGTCCCTGCCGAAATTTCTAATTCCAAGAAGACATGCACAACCATCCTGCATCTCTGCATTCCCAATATTTAGGTCGTTATATTGGATTGACTCATAATCAATTCTAATTAAAACATCGTGAGTAAAATTAATGACTCTCTCAGGTACCGCTGAGAAGCTATCTGTGTGAAAGTCAGTGTAATCTTTCTGATTTGTTTGGAATATATTATCATTATGTTTGGCACTGTAATGTTCTCCTTGCCCACTCAACCTTTAATCTATTCCCAATTTTGATAAAGTGCCCGTTTTATTATAAAACTAATATTAAATGATACTGCCAGGGCAAAGTTATAACAAAACATAAAAAGGCTCTTTTCTTATGGAAAATACACATTATCTTCAAGAATCACATTAAAACGTGCCACTTCTTTTCCAGTAAATGCCCTAACAATTTTCACAGAAAAAGTCTATACAGTGTCTGCCTTACTGGGAAAGAAAAAAAGATCGATCTTACTTTGGAAGCAGCACCCATTTTATTCTAATTACTTTCCTGTTTAAATTCCCCAATATATATATGCAAAAATGGTGTACTATATCACTGAAATACAGCCTGTAAACCTACCATTGGCTATATTATATATTGGCTATACTGTCACCAGGAGACCACAATATAACAAAAGATATTTATTTTGAAATGCCACTGGGAAAAGTTTGGAGTCCAAATCCTATACATTCTGTAACATCCCTTTCAATGATCCAGTAGGAAAAGTGAAAATAGAGGAGCAAATGCATTCAGAGAGTTCTGGAAATGCTGTACAGACCTTCCTATTATCAATTCAACAGATTGAGCTTTTTTTCAGGATTTGGCAGGTGAACAATCAATACATTCAACAGTAGGATGAGAAAAATATAAGACTAATATCTTTAAAGATGCTCATTTGACTTCTACATATATGATATATGTGCTTGGATTTAAATTTAGAAGGGTTTAGCAGTTGTAATACCTTTAACTAATATCAATGAAAATCATTGCAATTCTTTTCACATTGGAAATTTATAACCACCAAAGGATTGACAATTCTTTTTGCTAGCCATCCATCATTTTGCAAAACACAAATGTTCCATCCCCTGAATTCCAGAAGTGGTTGTCCTTTTCCTAACCAACTGTCCACATTTGAAGAAAAGCAGATGTGACACATTATCTGTATCAGATGGAAAGAATCAAATGAATCACCAAATAGAAACATTTCACCTAAGGACAACTGCTAACTGATGCAAAAGTCTGAAGTTCCCAACTCCTTTCACCACTACATCCTACATGTGCAAACAATCTTCGCTAACAGTTAAAAATTGGAAAGCTTATACAGGAAAATAGACAGGAACAGATACATGCTCAAGGGAAAAAATAAAAATACCTTTATCTCATGTAGCTTGTGCATCAAAAATGAGGTTTCTAACATGCATCCAAATGAATTGCTTTATGTTTCATGCAATTTCCAACATATATGCATACACATATATGTATGTGTGTATACATTTATACAGATATGTAACACAAACCAATATATACATTTTATATGCATATACATATGCATATATGTATACATATATGTGTACATATACATATACGTGTACATATACATATACATATACATTTTATATGCATATAAAATGTATACTTATTATATATACAAATTATATACATATAAAAAGCAAAAATTCTCATTAGCAGCATATTAGAATAAATAATAAATACTATGTTTTAAATTAAATAGTACCTTAGCTCCAAATCAGAAATAAAACTTTCTCAGATTCAGTTGGGGAGAGTTAAAATGTAGAAGTACCGTGTTGCAAATGCAAATTGTTTATTTGGAAATGAAATGGGATGTGAGCTTTACAATGGGGTTAATTTCTGATATATGTGGAGAACAGCTCCAGAGGAGCAAAAAAAGACCAAGGAAACACATAAACCTTATGCAAAGGGATCACATGTTTTGGCAAATAGATATGAAAGTAACATCCTAGAGTATTCATGATTGACTTTCCGATCCCTCTAGAACAGTGTCTACATGAACACTTCTATAAAATGGTGGGATTACAAATTATAAGCTAATAGATAAAACAGATTTCAGAATCTAATCAAAATGACACTAAATAACACGCATTCTGACTGAGAAAGCAAAGAAAAAAACACCTCGAGATTCTCAATAATCCATTTTGAACATGCCGAAGAATCAGCAGCAAAAGACATTTCAGAAGAAATGAAACAATCTCTCTCCAGAAATGTAGAAAGTCTGGATTTTACCAACAAGGAGCTTAACACCAGTTGTATGATGTGCAGTATTTCTTCTTGTTTTCTCTTATGCATGTTAATACCTTCATTTAATGAAAAGACTCACTTTGTTCTGACAAAGCACAAGCAGTACGTTCTGATGAGAAAATAATTTTCAGTCCCTAGCATATGGTAGCTGCCTATGTTAGAACTCTATTTTAAGGCAATCTGCTAAAGGAGAGCTGAATTCAGTAAGGATACTGAAGAAGACGAACACTGAAGCAACAAGAAAGTTTACCTTTTGTGACAGATTGACTTTAATCTGATAATATTTGTATTAAACTGTGTTATCATCATTGCCACAATGATACAGGTTTCCTAGAAGTATGTGGCAGCGCTATCTGGAGGATTAGAATCTATTCTTAATTAACTATATATTAGTTTTGTAACACTATTTAAACACTAATTTCCATATGTATTTTTAATGATTCCACTGATAGGAGATAATGAAAGGAGAATAACCTTGAAAGATTTTTTTTCAGTTCCTATATGGGGCATTTCTAATCATAAAGCAGTAACATTTCTGTCCCTTCAGTAATACTATCCTATTTATACTTACACTGCACTTACATTTTGATTAGATATGCAGCTTGTAGGTTTAAAATAATCAGTTTTCAACACTGATGAATTCTATCCAAAAACAATCTCAGAATTTGCATTCTCTGTCCTAAAGCTTTTAGATAATTCAAGGTATAGTTTAAAAATCTTTCTGATCTCAGTATTTGACCTTGCTGACAATCCTACTAAGCAATCACATGTTTTATAAACCATAGCTAGCAAGACAATAAATAAATAAATAAATAAATAAATAGATAACTCTATACTTCAGCTTAAAAACCTTTAATGACTTGCTCCTATAAGATAATAAAGTAGGGCCTCAGAAATATTTCTGGCATGCTAAACAGGCTTTTAAAATACAAAAAAAAAAAAAAAAAAAAAAAAAAACCCAGTATTTTTGTTGGCCTTTCATGAAAGCTAACATAGCAGAGCATGAACAATAAATGCTCAAGGCATAATTTGCAAGAATCCTTTTTGGTAGACGGACTACCAGTGGCCTGCAACACTGAGAAAACTAAAGCTTTAATTCATGGAAGCTCTCAATAACAATCATGACAGCTCTTAAAAAATCAGTATGAGGCTGTAAGAGTATTTTTTTTTGTCTGTGATTCCAAATTTGAACAAAAAAAGAAGCTTATCTCTCTTTGTAGTGCCATTCAGAGAAACTACTAATATGAGAACAGTATTTCCTTTTTAGGGAATGATCTCTGAATTGTCCAAAGAAGATGGGGGAACTCATTCCAAGTTAGACGCTTATTGTACAATACTTGAGAGGCTTTTGTTTGTGTCTTTGTTTCTCTGTTTGCTTGTTTTTTTCTAAGGATGACAAAGTGGGAAAAGATTTTGACAAGCAGCACACAGGCATTTTGAAGCACAAAGTATTAAGATCCATGTGCACCAAATAAATTATATCCTGAGGTCTATTTCATGTGTTGCATAGATTCAAAGAGAAATACACTGTGAACAGGTATTTATTCTGATATTTTTACCTCCAAAGAAATATTTCTCTCCCGTCTTAACTTGCAGAGGGCTGTTTGTTCGAACAGCTGAAGCTTCATCTCCATCAATGGTGAGGACTGCAAAATTTTCCTTGGCTAGGAATCGGACTTCATGCCACTGCCCATCATTGAGACCGGAGCCTACAAAGAACAGAAAACGTTGGAACATTTTATTTAGTCTAATATTTATTATCTTTAAGTGTTTATTGCATCTCTCCCAGCTCATTAGGTAAGGCCTAATGAAGTCTAATGAACATGCAGAAACAACAATTTTAATGTGATAACAAGACATTATTATTAAGATAATTACTACATAAAAGTTAACATTATCATCATAAATACAAGCCGTGGAACTACCCAACTGGCCAGTAGTCAGGTATAATTATTTCTGAAAACACATCTTATCATTCACCTTACCCATCAACAGGCCATATTGTACATTTAACTAATAAGGAATGTCCCTTAATTGTTTCTACAACCAAGTTCAAAAGGAAAAGATATTGATTCATCTATTTAATTATAATGAGTAACAAGCCTACAGGGCATATTATGCTTGTGATTGCTGCCTCTATCAAAAGGTTATGCTTCAAAAAGAGGGGAAAGGAAAAAGTGAGGGCGGACAAGCTTACACGGAAGCTTAATTCGCAGCTAATCCTGCTGCTGGCATATGGGGCTAGTCATGGCTGATGAAGACATCACTGCAGAGCCGCTGCAACAGCAGCAGGCGTCGGCCAAAACCCCAAAGCTTTGGGGAGCGCCCCCCTCCCTACCCTGGCTCCAATGAAGTATCTGGATCTGTTGGTTCGTTCCACTCTTTTTCAAGGAAAAAGAACTTGCTTCACGTCTGCAGAAGCAGCTGGCAGGAAGCCAGGGTGCCTAGGGTGTCAGGCTGGCATTTAAGCCCAGCAAATAGAGCTGATTTGTTCTTAACTTATGATCATGACTGCACAGGTAGGTTATTTTGGATCAGCAAACAAGCAGCAAACTCTCCAGTAAAACCTAATTCCACATTACAGCAGCTCTCACAAGTAACATTTGTCTCCATCTGCATTTTGGCGCTAAGTCACATTAGCAAAAGGCAATTGGCCAAAAGAAAGTGCAATCCTGTGCAATAAGCAGTTTCTAAAAAGAAAGAAAAAAAAAAAAAAAAAAAAAAAAAACC